AACAGATGTTTTAGTCTTTATGGAAAGAGACGCTTTCATCTTTGATCTTTTGCTGCATCAAACCTGTAAACGACAGGTTAGGTAACATAATGCACTTACCTCTAAAAACCTAATACGTCTTACTTAAAAAGTAAGACATTTGCAAGACTGAAAACAAAAGCGTTTGATCGAAAATAATAGTGAGTGATAGCAATTGCTTCGAACTAATAATTGATTGCCATAACAATGCTGTAATCTGTTTCTTACCGTAGAAACCGGGATCAAGCACATCCAAAATCCATAATACCAGTTGTCAGAAACTCGAAGCTCTAGGCAGGGGCTTACATGACCATTTGCGATTAATGATTCTTGAATGAGGCCAACAAACCACGATTGGCGTATAAAATCGCCAAGTGTGTCGCCGGTTAAAGCTGACGTTTCGAGCGTTAGCTAGCCCTTCGTCTTTCGCTCTGACGAAGGGCCACCGCTCGAAATGTTCACTTAAGCAATTCTTTACGATGGCCAAGTCACATAATCAACTCAGTTGATAAAACAAAATTAGCAAATCAATGCAACGCAGGATAAGACCAAAAGCTGTTCTTGTTTTCGTATATATGAGAAAGTAAATAACGAGAATATATGAAACCTTTCTAACGCAACACTCGGGACGTAAAATCAATGTGAAGGATGCTTTCTATCATAAATCCAAGATACAAAAAAACAGCTAAAAAAAACTTGATATATAAGTAGACGATGACAACTGTTTATCAAATTAGATGAGACATTTCAGAAGACCTGTAATTTTATGGATTGGATCTGAGTCTTATACTTTTGGACAATGGCTTGATAGATAGATAGATAGATAGATAGATAGATAGATAGATAGATAGATAGCTTTATTAAGAAGTAAAATCATTGCGGCCCCCGGCGGGCCGGCTGAAATGTGACTTACCGTTATCTATGAATATATGATAACAACTAAAAATAAAAAGTAAAATGTAACCTACAATAAAATATAAAAGGAGAAGTATCAACACCAAAATACTAATAATTAAGATTACTACAAGTAATTAGAACTGTTCGCCACAATAAAAGTGTTTTTAAATCTATTAGTACAGACTGTACTGTAGAGTAACGTTTTACTTCTAATGTCAGCTGTATCTTAACATGTCCTATAGAGTAAATTAAGCATCCTTTGCGTTTTGTAAGAGATAACATCGACATGATGATTCCAGCCTAAATCGAGGCTGATCAAAAATTCCAGATCTTTTTCAATCAGGAACACGTTCCAACATCACCAAGAAAATACTCTCTCCCATAAATACATTTCACGTGTGCTATCCCTAAAAACCTTCAACTTTTTTACATTGGCCCCATTCCCGAATGCGTGGCTACTCAGTTAACCTATTTAAGTCTTTCATAATTCATTGTCATCATTTTGACCGTTAACTAGGCGAAAACACTTATAATCATCGGCAAACAGTGACCGTGATGTAGCCCGAAAATGACACCAGGCATTTCATTTAAGTAGCTCAAGAAGAGCAGGGTCCTAAAATATATCCCTGAGGGACTCCGGATGTAACCGGAAGAAAATCAGATGCCTCATTATCGATCCAAATCCTGTGTCTTCTGACATTTAAATAAGATCTAAACCAACCTGAGAGGAAACCCTTAATACCAAGGCGCTCGAGCTTCAACAAATGTTTTTTCGCGGGGTACTCGATCAAACGCGTTGGAAAAGTCGAGATGGATGCAAATTGGTGTACTACACAGGTGAATTCAGACAGTTGATTTTCCTGGCAAAAAAGCATGCTGCCGTGGCGTAATATATGGGATTATAATACCAAAGATCTCAATAAAAACTTGCCTTTTCAATAATTTACTAAGCACATCTAGAAGTTCAATGCCCCGATAGTTAGATACTAAAGACTTTGGAATCACTTTTATGAATAGGGACGAGATAAGCGTATTTCAGGAAAAGACCCCCGGCGCACAAAGATTTATTAAGTAATCTGTATAGAGGGAGAAATTTCTTCAGCGCACCCTTGTAACAACTTGTTGGAGAGGCCCAGTGAAGCTTTGTTGATATCAAGTAACTTAAGTTATTTAGGGCTTAGAATTGCAAAGTGGCAAATAAACGGTATATTATTATTATAATTATCACAAAACGTTCCGAGCTGAAGTCCTCGTGAACGCTAACATCGGTTATTTCTTCAGGATTGTTATAAAACACCAGATCCAATGTAGTCTGAAAAGTTTGTTGGCTCGTGTTACCCTTTCAATATCAATTAATACTCAATGAAATATAGCCTAAGGCTAATTTCACTAGATTTCTCTCTCTCATATCGAGGTTTGGGACGCTCAGCAATCCTGGCAAAAAATGAAAATCATCTGGAAAAACTGCGTAATTGGCTCAGCTCTGTGGAGCAAACCAAAACGTCGTACTGGAAACGCTGTTGGCGAGCATCAGTGGATGGTTGGCTCAGCACTACCTTCCACTCATTGTGTGACAACAAAGGACCAACGATAACCATTATCCGCGTGGGAAGATACATCTTTGGTGGATACACCAGCACATCATGGAGTAAGTGAATAATTTTAAGATCTTATTCGTCTTGTTCTCGGTCTTCAGTGAATTAAACGCCCGTAAGTTATTGATTATAGATTTACGATATATCCTGTAGGTATGTACTTGTTAAGCGAGTTTGAGCGACAGTCACTCCTTAAACATGGATTCCATGTTGTTGTGCGTCGATAGACGTCAAATGACGTCAAATGACGTCAAAATTCGCAGAGAGCACGAAAGTGGCACGCGAGCCCCATGCGAAAAAGGCTAACCACAAGTAAATTCTTACGTGATCTTTTTCTTTACATCCTCACGGCAGAAAAGAATGTATTTGCTTTATCTGATTAAAAAGACAAATGTGGTTATTGCTGACGTCATTTATGCGTCTGTTCTCCAATGGATCATGATTAAAAACCAATTAGAATACGCGTATAATCCTGCTTATCATAAATTATAGTCGGAAATA